CAGTGTTGAATGCTATCACCCTATTAACGAAATGGATCATAAATACTGAAACAAAGACAGGCTGTTCATGATTTTATTGAAAGTAGTGTTACTGAAAATAGTATAATGACACGACTATATGTTATACCTACTTGGTACATTAATACAGATTTGTTGAATGCTTTTGTTGTTGTGCCTGCAGCAATTTTTCACACAAGAAAGATGGTGTCTATTTTTATTATGCACAACCATTTCACATAGCTGTGTTCAGATTAGAAAATACAGACTATCATGTAAACGTTTGGACTTTGTACTGAGTACTGAAAAAGATTACCAGCTCATTTGTCTAACTTTTTGTGGAAGCCGCGGTGGCTGAGCGGTTTAGGTAGCTCACCCTGTGTGCTGGTGTCTGACTGAGAGTGTTGGTTGGAATAAACCCAACAATAGTACTAGAATTTGTACTTGATTAAGAATCCCAGTAACATATGTTACATTTGTCTAACTGGTGGTCAAGGATACATGTTGGAGTATGGTGACCACTGCACCATCTTCTAGGGATGTCACAATACATAAGTTTCATGAATCGATGCATATCACGATACCCATGTGACGATTCGATACGCATCACGATACCTATTTCTTCATCATTATTGCATAATGCTAGCAACAATTTGAACATTAATATTTCAAATTTTATAATTGTCCATGAAAAGATCGACATTTTTATTATCAGAGATTAAAAGTTCTAATTTCCCATCTTTGTGCATGAAAAGTAATCATTTATAACTCTCATAACATCAAAAACATGATACAGTTGCAAAATGTAAACGATACATAAACATATTTAAACCAATACTTTCAAACTAAATATCGATACAGTTTTGAATGTATCGATAATTATAACGACTTTGAAAAGTATCGTTGCATTGATGTATCGTGGCATCCCTACCATCTTCTACTGTCTGACTATCTTCTCACATCTTTAGTATAGCACGAATTAGGGATGAAACCATATACTGATTCTTCCCGCTGTCTGAGTTGATGTTCTGTCCACAATGCCACGAAGGTGTCCAAACCATTTGGACACTGCAATAACTCTGTCACTTAACTTCGTCTGATCTCTGTGATTTAACTGGAACAATTCTCACAGGCCACATAATTTGCTAAATGGTGTTTTGTGTCTCAAGGATTGGGACAAGATTATTCTTGCGATTTCACCATGCCCTTGTTGCACCAGAACATTGCATGATGGAGTCTGATTGGCTTCTTGAACAGTCTTGTCAACAGGCTTTCCCATAAAGCACCACAGCTTGGTACAGACAGATATATCCTGTTGACTTTCTGTTCAGTAGCTTAATCATCATAGGCTTGTTAAGAGGTGATCCATTCAATTTAATTACCTTCATTCTGTGTATTTAGGAACACTGAAAGAAGTTGAGATGAGTGGTGTGTGTGGTGAGACAAATTAGTGAAATAATGAGTAGCGGAATCAAATTATGAACTGAGACAAACACGGTTACCACTTTGGCAGAATCAATATGATAGTTTGAATAAAATTCTGCCAATGTCATAAAATTACGTATATTATAGATTTAAAAAAACAACAGAGGCAGTAATTTGGACAGGTTATTGACTTCTGGAGCAGTCACTGACTCACATGCAAGATTAACTGTAGTTAAGTGAAAGGAATCAGGTGTTCTTTCACTTCATTTGAGCAGTATACATAGACTAACAACTAATTGATAATCAGTTGATAATAAACTTGTGGTAGGAAGGTTTATAGATTTATAGCAGTGTGATGCAAAATGTCTTTTTTGTCAAGCCTTAGAGTCAGTCATGTTAATGGTAAAAATTACTTTTGAAAATTACTTGCTATAGACCCCAAGTTACCAAGTATTTTTCCAATTGCCTCTATTGACATCACTGAGAAACAATGCAATGAGTAGACAACTTTAAAAATGCTTGAGTCTTGGACCAAAACCAAATGCTTGGTGATGCTTATTGCTGAGAGCTGTCCACAACCAGGTATAGTAGAAATAAGCACATTTTGAACTGGTTTCTTACAGATCAGTTAGGAACTGACTTCTCATTACAAAGCCTTGTAGGAATGATTGTGGGTAGCATTTGTTAGAAAGGGGTTGAAGCAAGGATTGCACTTAGCATTTCACTGGGGTGTTGCATAAAGACAACTGCATAGCAGTTCATAGAGGGATGTTACAGCAAGGTACATGTGTATTCATGGCAGTCTGTCGAAGGGTGTTATAAAGACAGGTACCTTCTATACAACTTGCTGTGAGGTATCAATGATGCTGAGTGTATCAAGTTCAGTTCATCTCATTAAGTATTGAAGGGATCATTTCCCAAACTTTCAGAAAGAAAATGACCCGGCTGCCTCCTTACTTCAACATCTGGTGGTGCTTTTTTATCTGAAGATGAATTAGGCTTTTTTCAGGATTTTGTTCCATATTGATATCTGTATTCATAACATTGATCAGTGATTGACCTAAAACATTTAGTAATTTCCTCTGAGTTAATGAAACTGTCAAGGTTTTTCCCTTTCTAATAGAAGTAGATAGTGTAAATATTTCCACTATGAAACTAAAATTACGTGATTAATTAGATTTTTTTTAATTCAATGCCAATTGCATTCTTTATTCAATTAAAGATTTCTTTAGATGAAATCAATCATGCTTTGGTTGATGTTGCCCGTCACTGACATTCTAGAGCACAAGATCATAAGCTGAAAGTGAAAATTGGAAAGTTTCTGCTCAGAAAGTTTTAAGGATTTGCACAAATACAGATAATTTGTTAGCTCTAACAGTTGATGTAATTCATTACACCTCAGGGAACATCAGATGTTGGAAATTAGGCTAACTAGTGACTTTTTACACCCTGTTAATGTTTCATAGACCTTCCCTATCTGATTATCTCAGATTCTGGAAACACATCAAAGACTACTGAGCCACTATCTTCATATCAGATTACTGAAGATATTCACAGCTTCTGTCTGCTGATGATGTCAAGATTGTATTAAGAGATCTATCTAGTCTGTCTCACGTCCATGTATCTTTTCCCTTCTGCCAGCCCTTCTTAGTGATGCACGGATAGACTTTTCACAGGTTATAATGACTCATTTCCAATTTAAACTCTGCTTGTTTCTGTCAAAGGTTAAATACTAACACAAAAACACTATACTTTTAATAGAAAATAAATTTTAATGAAAATAAATATATTCTGAAATAAAACAATGCATCTTGCAATTCTTGTTCATGAGGACATCTCAACATAAATGTTCATGACTCACAATTTGCATGTGCATGTTCTTGCACAGCACAAAATTTGGATCTTGATACTAGCACATGTTTCTTCAATGGGAACAACACACAAGGGAAATATTACTTCATGGCATGTGCTACTGCAAAAACATAGTTTAAGATCCACTTCTACACTTAGTGCAGCTCCACATGGGTGCTATGTGTCAAGCCCACAACCTGGGGTCCCCTGCCATGATATTGCTGGAATATTGCTAATAGCGACATAATCACACTCACTCACTCACTCACTCACTCACTCACTCACTCACTCACTCACTCACTCACTCACTCACTCACTCACTCACTCACTCACTCACTCACTCACTCACTCACTCACTCACTCACTCACTCACTCACTCACTCACTCACTCACTCACTCACTCACTCACTCACTCACTCACTCACTCACTCACTCACTCACTCACTCACTCACTCACTCACTCACTCACTCACTCACTCACTCACTCACTCACTCACTCACTCAGTGCAGACACATGTCATATTCCAGCAGGATAATGCCTGCCCACTGCTTGCATGTGTTGTAACAGACCTTCTGCATAACATTGTTGTACAGTCATAGACCACTATTACTACAGCCCTCTCACCCACTGAACTTGTCTGGGATGAGATAGTGAAACACCTATGACAGGACCAGATCTAGCTGGAAGTTCTAGCGCAGTTGGGCCAATCTGTGGTTGATGAAATTTGTTTCATAAGAACATGATGATGATGATGATGATGGTAGATAATAGGATGCTAAAGGGTCTTTGAGCAAATGACCAGTTATTATCAGACAAATGACCAGTTACTATCATACAAATGACCAGTTATTATGCTGTTAATTTGAATAGCATAACATGCCTATAACATGTTTTAAAGAACAGATACATATAGCATGAGAATAGTCTACGCTTTAATGGAAAGATCCACTGTCCTCCTGGATACAACCTTTGCCCAGTACTTATGACACTCTCTCATCTGTCATGTACTGTTAATTCCACTGACAAGTAAAACATAATGAGATTGCTCTCTGTACATCCTGTTTGTTGTTTGAAGTTGCATGCATTCCTGAGTTTGTCCAGACCACAGCCACACAGCAGGATGATTGTATGTTGACCAAGTGGTCTTTGCTGACCCTGTTAACTGAGGGATGAAAGGTCACCTGATTCAATATTTTCATCAGCTTCTCTGAAGTAAAAAGTCAGACAGTTTTATGGTCATTTACATGAAAGTGAAATACTTTGAAACCTGAATTGAAAAGAAATTGAATTCCTGCTGATCTATCAAGGGTAGTAGTATCATGAAGTTTAAGCATTTGCCCTGAGTGTGGTGTCAACAGGAGGGTGTTTTGGTTTTGAAATATGCAAACATTTATATCACTAAATCAATATTTATGTATTGCTCCTCAAATTTGACAACTATAGAGAAATCTACTAAATGGGAGGACAAATCAAAATGCGACTTAAGGGATCATGTGATCAGACTTGCTGACTTGGTTTACATGTCATTGTATCCCAATTGTGCAGATGATACTCATGAATTTGATCACTGGATTGTCTGGTCCAGACTCAGTTATTTGCAGACCATCGACATGTGGCTGGAATATTGCTGGATGTGGCACCAGACAACAAACAAGCAAAAGATAAGGGACACATTGTAATATTGTATTACAAGTGATTATAATTCTTTATTTTTTTCAATTTTCAGTGGATGTACATTGTTCCATTTGTGATTCTGGTGATGGTGGCTTCATCCTCGGACCCAAACCAGGGGGGCGGAGGACGTTGAGAGGAGGACATAAGAGGACATCTGATATTCTTGACAGGGAAGAATATATTTGGTGACAATTCAGTGAAGGAATAATTCTATCCCAGAAAGAAGACTGGCTCATTTAAATGAATCTGACACTGGCTTCTGAGTATACTTCTCAAAACAAAATGAAGAACACCCACATGGGAAGACTATGTTGTGAAACCAATAAGCCATTTTGACTGTTGTCATTTGAAAAAAATAGGGTGTTCTTCAACTTCTTTTGAGCAGTAGGTGTAGAATATGAGGAGGGCAGATTGTGTAGGCATTTCAGGTTCATCCAGGGTCTGAAAGAAGAGGAAGATGTTTGTCAACTAACTCATCTCTGTCCTGTAAGGAGAGAAAGTGTTTCTTGTGTATGGCAGGTGTATGTACATATTGCATGAGAGAGTGCCTTTGTAATATACTTGTATGTGTACCGTCAGGTGGAAGGGATAAATGATGTGAAGTTTTGTTGAAGAAGATTAAAAAATTGTATTGTTAAAGAATTGGTTTTAAATGTCGTTCTCCGGATACATATGTTCAGTTAAGAAATATATCCTGACTTTTTAAAAAAATTCCATCATTGAATGTTTTGCTGCACTTTCCAGTCTCACTTCTATCAGATCTTTTTCTCCTGTACAATACCTCTGTGCATGAACATTTGAGGACACTCCATATAAGGGCATGAAAGGTGCTCTTTTTAAGCAGCTAAATATTCAGTAAGATTGACAAACCTTTTAGCGTGGGCTTTATTTGTGTATTTCAAATTTGAAACAATGACAAAAAAGTGTGTTAAGTTCTGAAAGCAAAGAATATTGTTGTGAATATTTTATAAATCTTGTCTTTTCTGAGCACCATCATTCACTTCAGCATGGCAATTCAGTAGTTCTTGTCTTGCTTTGACCTTCAGGGAAAGTGTTGTCAGGTCTTGATGTGGAGAGGTGTCATTTCGAAGTGAAACATTTTGGTTTCATGAGATAGCTGCAACTCTGTACATTTCTGAGATTCATGTTTGTCACCCCTATTGTATGTTGTGTACTTGTGTAGCCCAGTGGTGTACGTGTCTGGATGCTTCACAAAGTGTACAAGTTGGATGCCATGATAAAAATAGGGCAAAAATCTTTTGACATAGAATCATTTGTTCAATGAAAGTCATTGGATGCTTGCCATGATCCTAATGTTTAAGTTGAAAGATTTCGGGGGAGCCTAGATTCAAACACTTTAAGAGAAGAGCCATATGATCTCAGGACTGCCCTTACATGTTGGTGAAAATTTGAATTCGAGCGCAGTTGAAGCTAGATCATCAAGTTTTTTCTTGTATTATTCAAATGGTTGAAATTGAAAACTATTTATATGTTGTTTCATTGTCCATCATAACATTCTTCAGGTTTTTCTTTGTTTCTGATTTTTCATCAAAGGGGTTTGTTTCATGTCAAAGCCACAATGAATATTTTTGATTACTCAAAGTTTATTGTCAGTTTTCTTCAAACAAACTTCCAAAGGCTCTGGTGGGAATAAAATACTTGATACCTTTGTCAGCTACTGTAGGTATTTTTAGCCATGCAATGGCTTTCTCTCCACCACCCATTTTCAAAGGTAGAGAGTGATAGACATGTTCTGCGAACAATATAGCTATCTCCCCACCACTCATTCCCAATGGTAGACAGTTATAGTTATGTAGCTATGCTATTTACAGAACATGTCTCTCCCCACGGCCGAATTTGTTTATATATCAACAGCTTCTTCTTGAGTGAGACGTGCAGCTGAATGACCCGGCAAGATAAGAGCTGAGAACCAATCAAGACATTAAAAACATTGTCATCTGTAACTCATAAACGTCTCATTAGATTTCTTTTTTTTTGCTGTATATCAAATGAATATCAGCAGTAATTGGTGTTGGACTCAAATCCATCTGAACCCCATGCTTGAGTGCCCATCAGAGCCTTCCAAACTACATCATTATGTTTTACCTTTTCTTCTGTAAGAAACACATGTTCATGAACCAAGAAACCAAAATTACACTGACACGCCCACTAATGCTTTTCAGTAGCAGTTTTTTAACGTTTCTAAACACAAATTTACCCTTACTTGGTAACCAGAATGCCAGAGACTTAGGTACAACAACCCAGTATCTCTGTGGTGAGGAGGGAACTTGTAGCACATCTTTCCTGTTTATTTATGCGAATGTTTCTATTTATTCAAGAATGTACATCGTGTTTTGTCCGAATAAATGTCTTTCGTAAGCAGTGTGACTGTAGTTCTTCCTGCTGGAGTTAAAACTTGGAAGATACAGTGTCATTGGTTTGAGTTGTTAAAGTGGAATTGGGAATCCAGGGTTTCTTTTTTGTTGATGTGTATCTTGGTTGTCGAACATAGCACTGAACAATATTTTAGCTGTTCGACAGCAGCAGTAAATGTTCAAGTTTAGACTGGACAAGCCAGTGATTGACATGAAGAACATTCTAGTCAGGTTACATTGACACATATTGCAATCAACCAAGACTCACTCAGTGTCGGAACCAACAATGGACCAACTGTAAAGTGGCCTCTTCAAAGGTTTTCAACTTTACACAAATTGTTTAACAAATGTCCCATCCGACAATTTTTATCAGGTCTTTGATGGAGGCATGTAATGACCAAACAAACAAGTGATCAATATTGTGACCAAAGTTCCACACTGCCAAGATATGACACCAATCAACCAGTTCATTGGAGTCTTACCAACAACTATTGGAACAGTACATTCCTACCCTTTTGCTTACACCTGTTGACATATAGCTGATTTTCACTACTACGGGTTAGAACTGGTCTTCAACAACCCATGTGATCACTATTGTTGTAAGAGGCAAGCAAAGGGATCAGGTGGTCAGACTCACTGACTTGGTTGACACATGTCATCGTATCCCAACTGCAAGGATTGATGCTCTTGCTGTTGATCACTGGATCGTCTGGTCCAGTTTCGATTATTACAGACCATGGTCACGAAGCTGGAATATTGCCTAGTGCAACCCAACTTTAAACAACAACCAACCAAACAACTTTTTACACCCAGCTGAATTGGTTTCAGTGTATAATTATGACTGATAACTTTGGATATTGTATTTTCAATTAAAATATGTTTTTATACTGTTGGAAATGCTGACTGGGGCATTAAACAGCAATGAGACACCCATGTCATCGTGAATTGTGGCTTGTGCAGGACCACATGCCTCCACGTAATTCCAATGCCATCAGAGGCCAAATGTTTGTGATGTCAACGAAATGGAGACTGAATGGCAGTAATTGTTCTGAATCGTTCTTGGGCCAGGGAACATAATGAACCGCTACATGTGGGGGCAAAGATTAGTCTATTATTGATCTGTTTTGATCTCAAATAGTTGACAGGGATCAATACTTGCTGTACCAGCCCTGGTTTAGCATTGCTGTGATGAAGATGATGGTAGAATTGTTCATAATAGGAACATTGTGCTGCATACTTTATGCTGCATATTCTACCTGTTGACATCAATGAGAAGAGTGTTCATATTACAGTCTTGCTTAAGGCTGTTAACCTCTATGACGCAGTTAGCAGTAGTCCTTCTATTGATAGATTGTTTGTAAACAGTGAAGACGAAACCAGATAAACACTTCTGATTTACAGCTTGATCAACGAGTCTTGGTCTTGCATTTTAATCAGTATTCCAATTACATGTAAATCACGGGTGTCAGCTTTAATAGTGGGAAATGCCTGAAGGCATTCGGGGCTTAGACGTCGGTAGTATATCTCTTGCAGCTGCATGTGCTGCATCGTATTTTCGGCTTTCAGGCAACGGTTTAGTTCAAACACATTAGGGTTTATTGACTACAAAAAGTGATACACGGCCTGATTTTATTGATTAACTTGAAATAGAGACGCTTGACAACTCCACCGTATTTCGGCCATGTGTAATCAGGAGTGATAGGGAAACTTACTTTTCAAACCAGTGAATTGTCGACGGTGATCAAACGGATTCTAATGGGTTTCACCAATTTCACGAAGTGTGACACGGTGTGATATAACTGAAATTGTTTAGAAAGTGGTGTTTAACCCGTCTTAGCCAAAGAACTAACTAAAGAACTCTACCCACTGATCTTGTTTAATAGGGGCGTAACGTTTACTCAATCACCAGACTACAGTGGACCCCCCGCCGATACCCCATACATATCCAGAAACCTCGCTAGCAGACTATATTCAGATGAAACGAAATACATACAACATCATATGCTTCGTTTATCCGGAAATCCGGTTTCTGGATAGAGACAGTGAATTTCAATTAACAACAGTGCTAAATATACACTATTGTATCGCACATTTGCCGGACGGCGATGTTTGGTCATCATCTGGCACCAAGTACCAAAGTTCAGTTCGCAGTATTGATTTAATCCTGATATCACACAAACCGGGTATAATAGGTATTCATCGTATATCTACAAAGTTTGATGTTTGTGAGCTATTAACTTAAAAGTTGCGTATAACCCAACTGATCCACTGAACTACCAGTGAAGGTCCAGGTAAGAATTGGTCTCCAGCACCCTGTGCTTGTATGAGGCTACTAACGGGATACGGTGGTCAGGCTCGCTGTTTTGATTGATGCATGTCATCGTAGCCCACACCGATGAATGTTCATTGTGCCAGATACTGGATTGTCTGGTCTAGGCTCAATTATTAACACCACCGTCAAACAGCTACATATTGCCGAATGCGATCTACTGATCTAGTTTCAAAGTGGTATAAACCTGATTTGGTGTTCTTAAATTGCATGCTAACACTGATGTTGAACTTCACTCAATCACTTCATGAAAAAAAGTTTTATAAACATACATTCTGCCATTTGATGCCACAATGCAATGAGAATTCAAGGGTGGGTGTATCGCAGTTGGGGTGAAATATACATCGTGAAATTGTATTTAAATATCCCATACTGTTTACAGTACTACTGTGACATCATCCACCATGTGTTAGTGAAGGACAAACGTGAAAAAGATGAAAGAAACCCTCTTTCCATATGTTAATGCGCATGGGTAATGTACAGGTCACAAAAATGCCGCATAATCACCTGTTGACAAGTATGGCAATGTGACGTCAAAACTGCTGGTCCAAGCATGTTTCAGACGTAAAACACACAACAAGTGACACCCATTTCAATACCAGAACCTGTCAGTATCGGGTTGGATTAACAGTTAGTCTAACTCTGAATATTCAATTTTGATAGGAACAATTAATTTTATTTAAACTGACAAGGAGAGACAGTGAGATAAGAGATTTCAGGAGTCACTTAAATTCTTATGCACAGGACTAGGTCCATCTCAGTGGCTTCTTACCTCCCTCCGTGCTTGCTAATTAAGGCTTGCAGGTGGAGATGTTGGAAGATATTCCTGGCCACTGGTGAAGATGCTAATCTAGCCAGCAATCGCAGTTCGATATGTTTACTCTCTTACCCATGTGTGAAACCCATTTTAGTGTACCCTATTCCTGGAATTATTGCAAAAAGCGGCGATAGTTTTCTTGCAGTTAAGAGAGCCTTAAACTGAGGAAAATCTGGACTTGCTTTAGTTAGGGCTTTCGCATTACAGAAATGACTGGACACAAGGGAAAAGTTGTGGTTCTGGGACTGGTAGAAAGACCAGGGCATCATGAACCCTCCTCCTCACTGACTGTAGGACGCCGAGGTAACGTGTCCCAATCCTGGTACAGGGCTTGGTCCAATTCCTCAAGACTTTGGACTTGGGAATCCTCAACGCATTTTGCAAACTGATAATGTACCAAGTGAAATATGCTCAGTGACATGCGATCTCTAATTCTTAGAGCCGAGGCGACGTATGCTTCGATCAACCTTCGGCATCTGTTCTGTTACACGCTTTGTCTTTAAGCTCACTCGGGGGGCAGTCTATAATGACTTGAGAACCAATTTTGTATAACAGAGATATTGAGAGGGCTACTTTTCATTGCTTTTGCTGTATACAAGTTCACGATAAAGACCAGACATCAAACTTCCGTTCAGTGGAAATGTTCCCTGGAAGGATGTCCACACGCCATTAACACCTAAGATGACTTTGTTAAAAGTTAACAGTTACGGGCCAGTGATTGTGCTGGGTGAATTTGTTACCCCTGCTTTGGTTGTGACATAAGTTCACCCAGCTCTCCAGTCAGGGCCAAGAAGAACAATCTCATGACCACCGGTGAACATAGTTCACAAGATAAACTAAGTGAACTATATTCATACCATTTGTTACAAATTCTAGTTTAATTGAGTGAACTATGCCAATGACAAGTATTATAAGGTTTGGAGATTTCCTTGTTTCTCCATTGCACTATGGTAAACACTCGTTTCATTCCCAATGGACGTGGCAGTCAGTACTTGGTCTACAGGGGCTGTAAGTTTAGTATCGAGAACAGGATGATGGAAAGTGATCATGGCCGAGAAATGTGGAACCATTTCAGAACGGAAGGTCCTAGGACAACAAATCATGTAGAAGGGTGGCATCTTAAAGTGAGTGATGTGTTTGCAAGCCTTGGTAGAGGCATATGTTATACAGCAAAGAAACGGTGCCAGAAGTCCACCTAAGATGAGAAGATATGTTGAACTGAACCATGCCTTGGAAATGTACAAGAGCGAACTAACAACTGGTGCCACAACTGTCATGTCATACATTGACTCAGTATCACATTTAACTGGATATTAAGGGTGAAAGCTGTGCTGTTAAATATAGATGTAATATGTGATATGATGTTGATGTTGATGTTGTATTAAGTTGTATATATGGATAACTTGTATAACTGGAAAACTTGTGTATATAATTAATAAATATAGCCAAACATTGAGTCAAAAGTAATAGTATTTTATCCCATTTGGTCCCGGATACTATTTCACAGGGAACAAAATAAGGGATTAAAAGCGATTATCACACCCAGTGATTTCTTCTACTGAAACAATAGGAGTTGGGTAAGTGGGAAGACCCCCTAATTACTATCAACGAATATTGCCAACAGCTGGGGAAGCGCCATTCGCAAAGACAATTCAACAGCAAACAAACCCAACTTTAGCCTTTTGAACTCTAGGTCATTTGAATATTCAAATATCACTCACCCCCACCTTAAGAAAATATGAAAATGTTTACAGCGTTGTTTTGCATGGATACACGTACATGTATATATTATAGGAAAATGTAATTTGAAAGTCTCTTAACGAAATAACACATTTTATTCCCTTTTGCCGTGATGCATATT